GGCACCTCCCCGGTGTCGCTCTGGCCTGCCGGGGAAGGAAGAGACAAACCGGTCAGGAGCCCCTCCTTCTGCCTGTGCCCCCCGGGGCTCCCCACGGTCCTGACCCATCAAGGTCCCCCCCCGTCTCCTGCTGGGACCCGGAGCCGTCCTCCCTGCCCAGGCGTGCAGCGAAGCACCGGGAGCTCCCAGGTCTGGGGGTCCCAGGGGACCGCTGCAGGGCAGCTGGCAGCCGCATGCGTGGGCTGCGTGCGAAACTGGGAACGTCTGACTGCGGGCTTCCCCGGGTGGCAGCAGAAGTCACCCGGCAGTGAAGCATGATGCGTGCTAGAAAACAAGCACAGCTGAGACAAAATCCTCCTGTGCCTTGCCCTTTACCGCTCCATTTTCAGTTTCTTTCTCTATAAAATGGTATAAAATTTATCTCTCAGTCTACCCAACTGGTAGATTTGGAAGCTGCCTATAAATCCTCAGCACCCGAGCAGTGCTGCGGCTGCGGCGTGGTTAGTCTGTTCCTCACGAGTGCTGCACACAGCGGGACAGTGCCGAGCAGGGGGGTTCCATCACAGCATTTCAGGGGAAGGGACATTATCCAGGGCACATGCAGGAGTTTGCACTACGTCGAGAACTCTCCAGGTATCAAGACGCTGCAGTGCCATGGGTGTTTCTTTTTTCTTGGTTTCTTTTCCTTCAGCCTCCCCCAGGACAGTCAGGGTCACCACACGTGGCAGCCGAGGTCACAGTTTCCAAAATCTGGTCCTTTCGGTCGCAGATGCCCGGGCAGCGCTGGCCGCCCCAGCAGCGTCCCCTGAGACGGGGCTCTGCAGGGGACATGAGGAGGGTGGGAGGGAGGGAGGTCTGGACCCCCACGAAGGCACAAGGGAGCTTGCTTGGAGTGACGTTGATTTGACCAGCTCCAAATGAAACCCTGGTTTTCCAGTTACATCCATGGAGAGCTTCTGTTCAGAGGTTAACGGCTGCAGCAGTATAAGCTCTCAGAGACGTGTCCAGACCCCCGATTTATCTCCAAGGGTGTGTGAAGGGCTGCCGGGAGGAAGCAGTCTGCTATCCCTGCCTTTCCCGAGCTGCTGGAGGGCAGGTCGAATGGATTCTCGTTTCCTTCAGCCACAATATTTCCAAGCAGCGGTCAGGGCCAGGCTGAGTACCGGGGCGGGCAGGCAGAGCTTCGGAGAGCCCAGCGGAGCAGCTCCGCTCACACCAGCACCGAACCGGACCCGTGTGCTCAGAGCCCAGCGTTTAATGGCAACAAAGAAAGAAGAGCCCAGGACAGGCATAGCTGGCTGTAATGAGAAAGGGCTCTGGAGCGGGGCTTTCATCGGGAACGGGAGGTGCAGCCTCCCCTCCGCCGCACCACCTCCCTCTCCAGGGCTGAGGAACGTTGTCTGCTTTTTATAAATAAATGGTTTGTGCAGGGAGGTGAGCTAAGAGCACCCGGGTCAGGATGCACCCCAGAGCCTGCTCAGGCTTGGGCAAGGTTAGCACGACAGGTCGCGGGCTGCTCTGCTCTTTCTGCAGGGCAGCTGAGGACAAGGCTGCTCCCCCACAGCTGGTGAGCATCTGCCCAGGCGAGCGGCTTCCCTCCGGCGCACGCAGCTGTCAGTCACTCCGCGTGCTGTAATCACAACCAGAAATGCTCCTTGGAGGCGCGTTAGAGGATCTTCCCCGGGGAAATGTCTTGGAGTTGACTGCTCCGGCAGCAGCCCTCCCCGACAGCTGAGGAGCACCACGCTCCTGGTGAGGGGTGCTGGGAGGAAGGCGTGCAGCCGGAGTGCGGCAGAGCGTGGGTGGTCACAGTGGGGAGGTTGTGGTGGGGAGGTCGTAGTCAGAAGCCGTAAGCACAGGTCGAGTGCCCTTCGCAATCAGCTAAGGGTGATGGAGGAATAGGCAGGAATGCCTTGTCCTGCCATCTGGGAGAGGTGGGCAAAGACCCGAAGGACTGAAAACACAACGAGCAGCCTGGGGTGCATCTGGGGGAGAGGGTTAGAGATCCAGGGGCTGTGGAAGGCCCTGCAGCAATACCAGGAGGACAGGATTTTCAGAGGAATGGGGAGATATGGGGCTTCTCCCTGAAAAGAGGGAGGGTTTGTGCCACGAGTGTAGTTCATCAAAAGTCTCAAAGAGGCACTGAACCATGATCTTCTTCCTCACAGGGATTCCACAAATGCCGTTTTCCCTGTGAATTTAATGGTGTCCAAGAAAAGTTTACAGGGAAGCTAGAAACTGTGCACCCCAGAATGGAGGGCTCAGACCAGCAGCATAAGTTCACATCTGAGCAATGGAAGGGATTGGAAACAATGCTCAGCTTCAGCCCAAGAGGCCTCTTACTGGAATTGCTTATTTGAACTGTTTCTGAAAACATGGATTTCCAGTCAAAGCCTCTGTGCTGGCTCTATGCTGACCTCCATCTTTTCCCACTGTTCATGCTCAGGCACAGCCACCGGGACCCAGGTTCCTCCTCCCTGCAGAGGGAATCCCTGCGCAGCCCCCAATCACTCACCTGCTGCCCCCCCTTCCTCGGGGCGGGGGGTTCGGAGGCTTCCCCGGCACAAGGATGCCCCTCGAATGGAGCTGCGGTAGCGATCCTCTGCTTCTGGCTCAGCTGCAGCAGAAAACACCCTTTGTAAGGCACGGCCAGTGCGTGCCGGACCCCGCAGGTCCCCCATTCCTCCTCGCCATGACATGGGGCTCCCCCAGGCCTGTGGGACTCGCAGCCGCCCTCTGAGCCCTGCACTCGACCGTGGCCCCATGCACAGCCTTGCTGGCGCTGCAGCTGCCCGTCCCCCAGGTAGCTGCTCACCCCGTCCTCACGCTGGCCCCGGGGAGCGGAGCGGGTTACAAATGCTCCTGCCAGCACAGGGCAGGGGGATGGATGCCCAAAGATGGGACATGCAATTGCTTTTTCCAGCAGGATTGGCATCCACCAGCTTATGGTGCGCATGAAACTCCAGCCTTGAGCTAGGCTGGTCCAGAGGGACGCGGCTAACTCCTTCCTGCCCTCAAGGGACAAGATGGGAGTGGGGGCCAGCACCGAAATGCTGCCTGGAAGAACCACATTGTCTAATGGATTGGTCCGTGCGCAGTTCAGTGCGACAGCTCGGAGAGGCTCAGACTTACAGCAGGGTGAAGGTACCAGAGCATGAGTCTCTGTGGTATCCGACAGACCAATGCTCGGACAGCCCAATACACACAAACATCAGAGATCACCACCGAGTTTGGAAGAAGCCCGGATGAAGGACTAATCCAAATTCAGAGATCTCTGGCCATCGTGCTTCCATGCGTGGACACACATGTAATGCACCAGAACAACTATAACTTCACATGGTCAGAGATTGCCCCTTTCACCTGAGAAGCTGAAAGGAGCCAGGGACCAGCCTGCAAACCGGGGACAACAGTCTGAAACAGCCTGGTCCTGGGAGATTTACTCCCGTGCTTTCCTCGTCTGCCAGTGGCTGGGGATACCTGCTTTGTATTCCTGAAATATAGCTGCAAACTGCAAATATGTCAGCAAATATGTCAGCTTCCCCTTGACATCTTCTAAAGTTCTTTGGAATATACAACACTTCAGGTAGGTTGGGCCATGATTCTGCACACACAAAAGCAGTGGTAATTGAGAATGCAAATTAGGTGAGCAAATACCCAACAGTTTTCCATGCACAGCAGGGAGTATTTGCACCAGGACTTCGAGCTGTTTCTCCCTGCGAGGGGAAAGGCTGTGCTAAAATAACTGTGTTCCTCCAAAAGTCTTTCTTCAAGCAACACCTCTTTCTACCCACGTTGAGTCTAAGATAAACACATCAACACCATGTAAATAGCTTAGAATAGAAGAATTTGAAAGCAATTAAGAAGCCCAAATCCAAAGATTAAGACATTTCACTCCAAATTTGCCCTCGCTTTTCCGCTGTCTGACTGCAAAGCCCATAATCCTCAGCAAACCAGAGCTGGTTTTTGCGTTGCCACAGAACCGGGTGATGGCAGGGGAGAGGGGGACCGGGGAGGAGGAAGGATAATGGCCGACTGCCTTCCAAGTCTTTTTGGGAGAGCAGCACTGCCGGGGGAGCCGCGGTCCCCACCTCCTCTAACCACAGATGCCTGCGTACATCTGACAGCTGGAGACATCCCGAGGGACACCGCCATCATCGCTTATTTTGCCTCTCTGATCTGAACACTGCCCCTAAACCAGCTATTTCCTTTCGGGACTTCCTAATCTCTAACGACCCAAGCAGCTTCCAAAAGCCTTTGCTTCCAGAGACAACCCCTCAGGTGCCATCTCTCCTCTCAATGCAGAGTTTCCTTCCAAAACTACATGGCTCCGTGGTGCAGAAAAGGTAACCTGCCTGACATTTACAGATCAACCTCATGGGTAACAGGAGCTGGAAACTCCTCTGCACTGCTCTACATCCCACGCAGCAGCCGCCTCCGGGCGGGCAGCGTGTGGGCAGGAGCCAGGCAGGGCAGAGCCGCAGCCGCTGCCCCCGGGGAGAGCTGGCCGCTCCCTCGCCGCCCCAGCCGGCTCCCAGCACGACGGACCGAGGTCCCCGGAGACCCGGTGGGACACGGCGTGTCCGTGCCGGAGCGCAGGGGCTTTCCTCTCACCTGCCAAGGACTTGTAACCAAGAAACCTGGCAATCTTTTGCTGGCAGTGCTCCTGCTCTTCATACGTCAGCAGCTGGTAGATAAACTGCCAAATGACTTGCTTGGCCGGTGTGTCCAGCAACGGGTACACATCCACAATGAGAGTGTCAATATTCCTGCAAAATCGGAAAGAGAGGGCTGGGCAGGGAGCGCATCCCTACGGCACAGCCCCACCACGCCGCTTCCCTGGGCTCCGGCGTTTCCCAGCCTGCCTCCACCTGGGTCTCAGCTGCCAGGCTTGCCTCTGTCTTTGGCACAAACAGATTATTTCAAAGCAGAGGTGCCAGGCTGCGAGTAAGGGACCGAGCCCTTTGGGAAGTGGAGTTGTGCAGCTGGTGCTAACGGGGAAAGCAAACTCCCGGGGACTGGCAGCACCTGACAGCCAGGTATAAAACCTGGTTCGTGAGTCAGCCAGGGTGTCTGGGGTGGAGGAGCACTGGGAAGCAGAGAGATACCCTGGAAAGGCCTGAATTTTGGCCAGCAGCAGGTAAGCAGGCTAAGGTAGAGATGGATTGGAAGGGACAGCTGGGCTGGCAGCCTCTCTGGGCTGAAGGCTCCATCTCAGGTTGGCTCTGCAGTGTGTCGATACAGTGACAGCGCTGTTGAGAATAGCAGGGCTGAGCACCTGAATCAGTGAGGAGCATAAAGCAGCCTGGGGGAGGAGGGCTGTCCTGGGTCAGAGAGCTAAAGTCAGGCTGCTTTTCTACTGAGAAACTGAGGCAGAGGTGATGGGTTAAAGCTCATTGCAACTATTGCATCCTTAATGTAGAAGTAATAGTAAGAACTCCTTATAAAGAGCTGGAAGGAGATGGCATGTGTAGGAACAAGTCTGTTGTCTTGATGTTAATCAAATGGACCATTGCTGCCTTCCAAGGGGCAGGGACCAGGCACACAGGGGAGAGCTGAAGGGTGAGGGAGGCTCAGATGCTGCAAGGACTTCATTAATGAAGTGTCTCAGAGGCCAGTGGGGATGAGAAGCGGTAGGAGCCATCTAGAGCCTGCCAGAAGTCACCTGCTAAGTTTCCCCCTAGTTTTGGGCTAACTTGCCTTTTCTGTGGAGCCGGACACAGCTCTTGGCTGTCAGAAGCCTATTTCCCATTCAGAAAAGTTAAAGTATTGTGGAGGAGCTGCTGAGGCAGGTGGCCGCTCTGCCCTGCGCAGGCACTGCTCCTCCCGGCTGGTGGCCAGGGCCAGCTGGCTTGTCATGTGCAAACTGGCTGGGGGACCAAAGCCCAGAACAGGGGTGTCCTGACTCCATCTCCTGTGTTTGCTGCTGGGAAATGCTGGTATCCACATGCTGTGGTGGCAAGCAACATAAACTTAATGTTTGGGGACTTCCCTCCTTTTTGGAGCAGTTAGAGGTCACAGCTGGCTTGTCTGGGGCGGGCATGCAATTAGGTCATGATGAATTATTGTTAAATGGAGCAGTGGCCTCTGTGTCGAGCCATCTGGGGCAGCTACGGGCAAAATGAGGTGGCTGGAGGAGAGGATGGGCACGCCGGTGCCCCTGCTGAGCCTTGCTCCCCGCAGTGGGCGGCAGCGACAGCCCCCAGTAAAACACTGCTGGAAGACCAAGCGACGTGGGCAGCCCCAGGCTGGGAGGGGAACCTGGGGACTTGATTCGTGGTACGTGGGTCCCACCCTTGTGCCACTGAGCAAAAGCAAGTACCCTGCTAGGATCGGGTCTGTGTTTCCCAGTTGCAGACCCTAAGGACTGGATCTGCTCCCACAGCTGCCGCTCCTCGGGCTGAAATGCCCAACTGGGGAATCCCATAGAAGCAGCGCAGTGTCAGGAGAGCGCAAAGCAATGACTTCTGCTTTACCGGGGCGGCCTTAGTGATCACGGGGCCTCAAGAAGGTTCACTCAGCTGGTGCTGGGAGGCTTATACAGCTGTACCTCCCCCGGCACCTGCAGGTAGAGAGGCAGCCCAGCCTCCCTGTGGGCAGGGGGATGCTGCGGGGTGGTGCAGCCCTCAGCCTGAGCCGTGGTGCACAGGGACAGCACCGTGGCATTGTACTTGGTAGTTTCTATTCTCTCTTACCATCAGTAACCTAAATACTGAGGGCTTTACTGCATTTCCTTGTCAAACTGAGGATTCCAATCCTGATTCTTTGATCTTTACACCAGCAGATTGCTGCACCGTGGCAGTGGGAGCCTGCCTGGCCTTGGCTGGTGCGTCCACAGCCCGTGTGGGACCCGGGCTCCCGAGGAGCAGCCAGGCAGCCTGGCTCGGTTGGCTCAGCAGCTGCAGGAAGAGGCAGCAAGCATCTCCCAGTGTCCAGAGGGATGGCTTATTCAGCATGGTGTGGAAAGGTTAAAGATCAAGGGCAGAAAACAAGGTCACTACTGAAAGCCTCGAGTCTGCCAGGGGATCGGCTTCAGCTCTTGCAGCAGGGCAGGGAGGATGTGCTCCATTGCAGGATGGGGGCTCTGCCAGCCACCGGGCTCGGCTGGCTCAGCAGCTGCGGGAAGAGGCAGCAAGCATCTCCCAGTGTCCAGAGGGATGGCTTATTCAGCATCGTGTGGAAAGGTTAAAGATCAAGGGCAGAAAACAAGGTCACTACTGAAAGCCTCGAGTCTGCCAGGGGATCGGCTTCCGTGTTGCAGCAGTCTGCCAGGGGATCGGCTTCAGCTCTTGCAGCAGGGCAGGGAGGATGTGCTCCATTGCAGGATGGGGGCTCTGCCAGCCACAGCCATTCCTGTGCTGCCACCAAGGGAGTGCTGGAGCCAAGATGCTGAGAAGAGTGAGAAGACAAGGATGAAATGTGGCGAGATTTACTGAAAGAGGTGAAACAGGATCTGTGGCCGTCGGGGATGGCCAGACAGCAAGAGAGCCCATGCCACGGGGGACCGAGGTCATTTTATGAGGGATTAAGGGGTGACTACTGAAAGAGGTGAAACAGGATCTGTGGCCATCGGGGATGGCCAGACAGCAAGAGAGCCCGTGCCGCGGGGGACCGAGGTCATTTTATGAGGGACTAAGGGGTGACCGAATTAACCTCAAAAGCTAATGGGTCTGCCCTGTCCTTGGGCAGGACACCTGGTGAGAGATGGGCTTGTGCCCTGCAGACACGCACAGGGACGTACACAGCTGGGGAAACCAGAGACCACGATCACAGCGGAGCTCAGTGCTGACAGCCTCGCAGCCGAGGTCTGCCTTCTGCTTGGAGACCGACTCTGACACGGGCATTGCTACCAGGCCAGGTACCAGCATTAGAGGAACAGAGCTGCTAACAAGTTACCGATGTTGGAAGAAGCCTTCCAGCGCTTTGCAGATGGTATAGCGCTCAGGTGGAGTCAGCAGGTGCTCCAGCTGCTGGTTGAAGGTCCTTCCTTGAATCTTGATGCTAGAGGGGAGTATCTCTGCAACCCACTGCAGGGAGGTGAGGGCAGAGGAGGTGCTCGGGGAGTCAGCAGAGTCAGAGTCTGCAAGGCGCAGGTAGAAAGAAAAAAGAAAATTCAACAGACAAAGGGTCTTAACCATGGGTTAAAAGGCTTGTCCCAAAACCAGGGGTCACTCCTGGGGACAGCCGGGGCAGCTGCACCTGCGCGCAAATCCTGATGTGCTGATACAGACATTGTTACTCCAGCAAAAAGAGATTTCAGTCACTGGAAGGCAGCATGGTGACAAGGTGAAATGGCTCATCTGGAGCTGTGACTGCCCCTGCCTTCCTCCCATGCTCTGGACCAGCTGCTCTGGAGCTCGCGGCTGTTCCAGTAGGTCCGTGGACCTGCTGGAGACGAGCAGGGGTGTTTTGATTGGGATGATCTCTGTGATCTATCTCTTCAACCATGCTGCTTCCACACGTCTGTAAATGCATGCAGATGATATTCCTTCTCTGGCTTTCTAAAGCCTCTGCTCAAGTTTCAGAGCACTTTATGATAATCATTGACTTCAAAAGCAGCATCAGTCCAGGGTTACCCGTGAGTGAACTGAGGCATGGAAGGTCACTTGCTTTGCCACGCTCATCTGCGCTGCTCCCTGTGCCACGGCCTGGCCACCTCCGCGGTGAGCGCAGGGCAATAAGCATGGCTGGGAGAGGGACCCAACCATGTCTGTGGGATGCACTCATCCACGTAGGAATATGGCCAAGGCAGTGGGAGCAAAAACTTCCATTTTTTTCTTGGTTTCTTTTGGGGGGCAGTGAAGGAGTTTGAGTGCCACTGGCTCTGTACTGCGAAGTAGTGAGGTGCTCTGTTTTGTTTCTAGGGCACGTGCAAATGAGCTGCTAACACTGGGCTCCTAACGAGATGCTCAGGAGAGTCCACTGCTACTCTAGAGGGAAGAGCCAGTCCCTAATTCCTGGGCCTATGCATTGCAGAGCAGCACCCCAATAATGCACTGACTCTCCTGCCTTCACACAGCTTTGGAAACGCGGTGACGGCTGTGCTCTGCCCTGGGCTGTGGTGCTGCCCCTCCGCTGAAATCGTGCTGACAACCACCCGCGTTGCCCCAGATACCCTCATCTCCCGCTGACTCACTCGCCAGCAGCAAGCTAAATTATTCATAACAGCAGCAGTTATTCTGAACAGCACAGTCCATACACAACCGTGGGATTTGCACAGCGACCATGGATGCACAGGGTTGGATTACTTCGGTCAAGTACACAGCACAGACTGCACGTAAAGGATGTTGGCAAGGGCTGTCAAGGACGATCATACAGTAGGACGAACCCTTCTGGAGAGCAGCCGAGCCTGAGATCAAGCCTGATCCCAGAAAGCGGGCAGCCGCGTGCCCTGGTGAGTGGAGCAGCCCTCCAGGCAGCGCAGAGCAGTGTTAGGCTCCAGGCAGCGTGTTAAACCTGCTGAGCCTACGGGAGGTATTAGGCAATTCCCTCCTGCGCGGGGAATTCAGGAGCTGGCGTGGGGTTTCTGCCGCGCCGGGCCCTCTCCTCCCCGCACTCTTACCGTTGGAGAAGTTGACGATCCCCTCTTCCACCACCAAGGTGGGCATCGCCCCGCTGCCCTGCAGCATCGACACCACCTTGTCATGGGAGCAGTTCCTGCGGGGCACAGGAGAGCCCGGGTCAGAGCTGCCGGGCTGCCTGCCTGTACCGGCAGCACTGCAGGCAGCGGCTCACAGGAGAGCAGCAGTGAAATGGAGTTTGCAGCTGGCTTCATTTATCTTGCAAAAAGCCTCATCTTGCTGCTCGGAGCCAGGCAGTGTTGGGCCCCGCTGCAGTTCCCCTGGACTCTCAATCTGTGCTTGGCTTTATCTGTGCTGCTCAGAAAAGAGCCTCGCCAAGGGGGAGCGTGAGTCACCCCGTGACTGGGCTCTCCGCTGTACCTGCAGCAAGGAATAACTGCAGGGCATGCCTGCGAGCGCCCTGCGGAGCTGTTACGGCAAATGAAGCCAGCGTTACTTCAAGCTACGCTCAGACCCAGAAGATGAACTTTCCATTTAAATGATACAGTGCTGCGGGTCTCTCCTTGCCTGTCCTAATTCTGCGTGGAAAAGAAAATGCAAGGTGGATGTAAAATGCATTTTTTGGGGGGGGGGGGGAATCTGGGGGGGCCTTT